CTGCTTTGAATCAAAAGTGTTCAGCGCTGGTGTGGCTGCACCGTGAGTGCTGTGTGCATCTCTGAGCCCATAGTTTAAGAAGGATGTGAAGGTCCTTGGACGCCTCCAGAGGAGGGAAAAAAGAGCTGGTGAAAGCTAGGTGATGGTTCGGGGTAGTTCAGAGGCAGCTGTGGCTGCTGGAGGTCCGGGATGCTCCTGGCCATAGCCTGGATGGAGCCCCTGCCTGGGGAGGAAGGGGCATCCGGGTCACTGGTGGGGATGAGGACATGCTCCCACCACCTGCCTGGAGGAGGATAAGACAGGATAAAGAGGGGAAACTGAGGACTGATTTTTTTTTCCCCATTTGTGCAGTGAGAAGGAAGAGGAGAGACAGGAAGGGAGGTCCTGGCTGTCGGGCCACCTGACCCTGCTCAGCCACGTCCCTGCACCACAGGCATACATACATCTGCACGAGGAGATGGCTGCGGAGCATCCTGAGCAGCAGCAGAAACAGATGAATACACGAGCCCTGGGCACTTCCCTTAGAAACTGACGGTTATCTGAACACCGGGATTTCAAGCAGCCTGTCCTTGGGCGCAGGTGCTGCCCTCGCTCTGGGTAGAGCTGGGGCCATTTTCATCTGAAGAACATCTTTGTGAGTTTTTCAAGCCAGTAAAAGCATCTCCAATTAATGAGCCTCATTTAATTATTAACAGAAGTTGTCATTTGCCTTTTTACTGCTCCTCACTCCTCATCAACTTTTACTGAATGGCCCTCAAACTGACGTGTATTCCACTTTAATAAAGCGTTATTTCTTCCCTGTGGAAGGGTGGATGTCCGTGTGGAGTTTTGGGTTTCCATTACAGAAATGTAGCCGCCTGTTTCCACCCAAATGTCTTCAGAAGTTTAGGAGAATTTTTCCCAAAGACTGCAAAACGCAGCATCCTTCATCCTTTGGCTGCCGTAGCACAAGTTTCTAGCCTGAGCTGAGGATGTAGGTGAGATGCTGTTATAAGATAGGGTGGGTGGGCTTCTTCCAGCGACTGGAGAGTTTGTTTCATGAGTAGAAGGGTGAGCGATGGCAGCCTCGGGGCAAACCGGGAGATGGCCACAAGAAGCCTGGGAGATGCCATGTTGTACGGACACAGGAAGGAATAAAGTCCTGAGAGGACCAACTGGAGAAAGCCCCCCCTCCACTGAGGCCAGGGCAAGGATGAAAAATCAGCAGAAAAGAGAGTCAGTAACAGGATTTATGCCAAATAACAAGTAAAAAAAGCTTACCCATGTCTCTAGAGCTGCAGCAGCAGTGCTGGGTGAGCACCAGCACCATCAGCTAACGAGGAACCCAGAGCCTGGTGAGCCCTGAGCCAGGGCTGATGTGCTGATCACACCCACCTGGTTCAGCAAAAACACCACGGGGGTCACCCGAAACCACCCAGACTTTAACAAAAACACTCACCTAACATTTAATCCTGGATGAGTATATTCTTTCTTTGCTATGTTTACTGCCCCAGACAAAACTTTCCAGGGCTCTTTGAATAACATCTGCAAAGCGAACATTTCACAAAGGAAAAACGGAAAGTGGAAAATTGCATTCCCCACCCCCCCCACCCCCCAGAGCTCTCTGTAACAGCTCGGGGAGCTGTGCATGACCCAGCACCCAGGCAGCTGCGCTTGCAGGGACCCCCAGCCCTGTGCTCAGCCCGTGCCTGCGGTGTTGCTCTCAGGGTTCCTGTCCGTAGGCTGCTGTGCACACAATACTCAGTTTCTAGAGAGCTAGTTCTATATTTTCTTTCATTGTACATATTATATCGTGGGCTTCTATGAAATAACCATGGCAACAACACTAACACTGATACTTTCCACGAGAAATACTAAGCTATGGCTCTTGCTGTGATTCTGAAATGAAATCTACCTCGCTGATGGCAAATTCTGGGGTATGAGCCAAGCCGGGGATTAAATCCCATCCTCAGGGCTGTTTTACAGTGCAAGACAGATAGATGCAAATTTTCAGTAGTTTCTTGAGCTGTTTGTCCACGAATGCTGGTACAGGCTGGCTGCTGGTTTTCTCAGAAACAGCCAAACTTCTGGGAAGCAGCCAGCAGACCCTGGAGCGTGGCTGCCCATCACCCCTGCTACAGGAGAGCTGTGCTGGGAGCCCTGGCACTTCCCGTGGCCATGGGTGAAGTAGAAATCTCCTAACCTTGTCTTGAGCCCATCTTTAATATTTCTTAGGTTGGGTTTTTTCCTTCTTTCCTTTCTGGAAATGGCTCCATAATCAAGAATCAAGGACCTCATTCCAAAGGTGTGGGTCTCTCTCCATACTCCCTTGATCTCCTGCTAATCCACATAGTTAGATATCTCTTGCTGGGAGAAATAACCTAGCTGGTTTTCCTTGGATCTGTCAATTGTAGCATCTCCTCATTGCTGAATTTTTCTCCCCTAAATGGGCATGATGTAAGAGCTGACTGTATTGCATCTTAGTAATGGCTCAGCTATCTAGGCTGGCAATTATCAACGCCTGAACGGGGTTCAAAGCCTCATACGCTTTGCCCGTCGCCTCGAGGCTCTTGTATCACTGGAGGATGTCCTGACTAACCCGACGGCACTCTCTCAGCAGTGTTTGGGCAAACGATGGGATGCACAACATAAAAAAATAAAAATATAAACTGAGCTGTGTTGTTGGATTTGGGCAAGGCGCAGCGACTGAGGGACATGAGGTTGCACCTCTGCTGACCCGCAGGCTCACGGCTCGCTGCAGCCATCAGCGGTTCACCTAGCCAAGGGCTGGGAAAGAGAATCCAAGACATTCTGCAAGCCATCACCCTACAGCTGCAGTGCTGCTGTCCCTGGTAGGTAACGTGGATCTGTCCCAGCCAGGCAAAGCCCCGGGAGGCGAGACCTCGAGGGTGAATTTGGAGGGCAGGTTATTAAAACACCAAGTTACCAGAAGTCTACTCCAGAGAAACTATTTGAGCACACACGACTCAGTGTGCAAAGATTCAACAGAGACGTGTCTGAGTGATTAACAACCCAGATTTATTAACCTTAGCTCATGCCAAATGCATCTAACTGCCTTCAGCGTAGTTGCTGATGGAGACGATAACAGCGCACGCGGTGCAGGGGATACCTGAATTCCAGAGACAAATCCCCTTATATAGCCCCATCACATAACGAACAAAGAAACCACCAAATGCCAACTAGATTAACAAAAAGCAAGCAGGAAAAAACCCACAATGAGTCAGAAAAGTTAGCTCAGGAAGGAGAACCAGAATACAATTATCATCAGTTAGCTCTTCAAGTGGAAAACAGGACCAAGGGGCTGGCCAAAACTGCAGGAATAAATGGAAATGTCCCCAGTTAAATACAGCTTAGGCTCTGGGAAGTGGGGATACAGCTGGGTCAGGGTCAGAGAGCATCCTCAGCACATCGGTTCGCTCCCAGACCGGGGGAAGAAGAGGGAGGAAGAAGCCAGGCTGCAGAGGGCACACCCACAATTAACACCTGGGAGCTGATGAGCAGACACTTCTGCACGGGCAGCATGGGAAAGCCTCTCCGCAAGCCAGGGCAAACAGTTCTGCCCCCTCACCGGCTG